ATTGGTGCATAGACGGACGGATGGATACTGGATGGAGTGTTGGACACATGATGTAGGCATGGATCCGAGATGAAAATATGGGTCCTGGGTGGAGGAATGTTTAGGTGGATGAATAGAAGGATGGATGGATAGATTAATATGTGGGATGGATATGTGATGATTCCTGTCTCGGCCCGCCACTTCTGATCGACTCACAGTACCTACAGAAGGACTCTACTTGAGGTGAGTTTGTTGGTCGGACGTGGGTTAGATTTTAAGATTCTCAGCATTCCTTTCACTTCCCTTTGTAGGGATGCCAAATGGGATGCACATGAAGACTGTTCTTGTCTCCACACCAAACCACTGCGGTGTCACGTTTACGGTTGACTGAGAGTTGGCACTGCTTTGCTACTTTCGAAGTCGTCACAGAGGGAAACAGCATGATCATAGTGAAGAGATGAGTGCAGAGGACAAAATGTGTAGGCGACTGTGACTAGCGGATGACGATGAGCCATTTGAGCCACTCGTTAACCGGTTCTTCCAGTTTGAGACATTCGCAATTGACGTCAGACTCTTCTTGCGTTGACCACGTAAATCCCATCACCGCTTTTAAGCGGCTTCACACAGTTGCAAGGCAGATCGAAGATAGGCAAGTGGAACCGTTCTGAGAAAGAGGCTGTACTAATCAATCAGTAGAAACAACTTTTTCTTTTTTTACAGAGCCAAAAACCAACTGCAGTCAAGTGCTGCGCTACAACATGCTTGTGAGAAGACCTGATTATTATTCTCTGGTATGGCAGCAGTGCCCCATTCTTATCCTCTCCTTCTTTTTTTCCCTACTATTAATATCCCTACTTCTACTTATCACTGCCGCTGTTAATGTTATTAGTCAATCGCAGGCAGAATTGACAGGCAGTCACAAACCAAGCGTGGAAGGGGAATGAGATGTCCATGTCTGTGTTCCTTTGGTCATCTGGAGACAAGACGTTCTCTGGAATTGGAAATGGTGGTCAGATAGTGTTTACTTGGAAGAGGATCGCATATCGCAATGATATTTCTTCCACAAAATGATTGCACTATTAAGGTCTCAAAATATAGTATTCTGCTGAAGTGAGGGATGCGGTGAAAGGAATCCCACGACGGCTGACCGTCACATCATACACAGGTGGATGGGCTAGTCAATCTGCAGGGACAACGTTATTTTATCGTTTGATATGGCGACAAATCACCTGCAAACATATTTACTGGGATTTCATTCACGGAAATAATGTGCGGCAAGCGTCTCCGAATGAAGTATCCCAATGAAGTTAAGCATGTTGTGAAAGGAATCTCACGATGTGTGACCGTCACATTTTACACACTTTTTCGTCATTGAATCCTCGCCTCCATTCCGAATTAGCAACTGTGTTGATGGGGTAGTGGGTTGAATTAGTGTCCACCACTGCAATTGTGTCAACTTCACTCTCGCAGTGGTGGGGCGTAAAATAGCTGTTCTATATGAGAATTCATTTATTTTGCCTTTGTTTTGAACTTCTTGCCAAAGTATACCATATCGCTTATCGGTTATAAAGAAAAACTAGAACAACCAATAGGCTGCTGCAAAATCGCACTGAAAATGCTTTTCTAATCAAGAGAGGCAATGAAGCGGATTACTTTACTGTCTGAATGCATAACTACTCGACACATCACCATTCATATAATACCACCTCAATCGGTCTCAAAACTTCCAGTTTAATACAAACCGGTATCAACTAACCTCCTTTAGATGGAGTGACTGTAATCCCTCTTACTTTCTGCCTCTACTGAAGCACTAGCTCGTTTTGTAAATGTAAAACACTACTAAAGACAGTGAGTACAATGTACAGTTGTGATTTGCTGACAAATGAACTCGGCAAATTGACGATAATTGTTCTTCGCAATTTCTACCACTATGCCACTATTCCGACTGTTGCAATTGTCGCAAAATCAAGCGGTGCTTCATTACTCTTGCACATCCCGAAGTGCACACCGCTAATATTGTCAAATCAACGGACAACCTTCGAAGATGATGCTGCCAAGAGAGTAAGGAATGGCTAGTGTCAGGAGCTGTCTGGAATGTAATGGTGAAAGCAAGCAAATAAATGCAGTTAAATTTCCCTTTTTTACAGCAAACATTTTCAAAAAGTGCGGACAAAAATCTTGTATTTCATGACAGGCAGATCCTATTTACCTCGCCATGAATGGCCATTACGGTTTCAGCATTATTAAGAAAGGCCAAGTGCTGCCAAAACAATGCCGCAGTAACGCAGCTGTGCTTGTGAATTTCTGGAAGCCAAAATTAATAGTCTAAATGGATGCAGAGATAAACTTGTCAGGATTACCACTTACTGTACGAAGCTTACCATGTATGTTTCTATCGGGGCGGTTATGTTGCAAGTAAGTCCCAAATCTATCCCCTCACATCCAACTTGCAGGCCGCATCAATCGTATTTGAGATGCATGTAATTTGCTTGTAAACAAATAGTGGAGGTAGCAGATGATCGAGAGAGCCCACAAATGAACAAACATTTCCCTTCTTTGACCTTCATTTCACACACACTATCACCCACCCCTTTTGCATCGTGTTGATGTGTGATATTTTAAAAATCTATTTCTAAACAATCGGTTTAGAGTAGATGTGGCCCAAAGCTGCATTTACCTCCTACTTGTTTTAGTTGACGTCATTTTACTGCCATCAGGGTTATCAGGACTTGTATTCTGCAGGATCGTGTTCAGTTTTCCTCAATAATTAGGTAAATGGGTGTGTGGATGAGTACTGACTGTGTTAGTTGAGTTGGGTTTAATCAACGTGGAATCTATGACGGGGTGTATTGACTGGTGTTGTTGATAGGTTTGTTTGGCGATTTGGGCAACTTGAGGTCTATTTACATGCAGTCAGTGAGTTAAAAAGGAAGCTGTTTCCTCTTTTAAGTAGGACCTGTAACAAACTGCGATTTGGATGACTTTGTACCACTTTCTAATTTGTCTACGTTACTATGGATCGCATGAGTTTTATATACGTGGACGGCACCAAGGTGCGTGCTTTGGTGACCATAAAAACTGGACTTGGGAATATGTGAGTTTAAAAGATCTGTTTGTCTCAAAAGATAGGCTAATTACGACTGTCGACATTGATACTTGGAAGGATGAGCAGGTATCAATCCAGATAATAGAGTGAATGGTCTTGTGTATGTCATTCTTCCTTATTAACAATAAAGGCTTTCCACTGCCATCCATCCATTCATCCACCCCGGCTTTGTAAAACCACCCGAATTTGCCCCCACTTCAATATATGACATCACCAATGGAATAGAGATCTTCCACTATGATCGAAAGCAATATGACACTTGATTTTATTGACAAAAAAGGTATGAAAAAAGTCGTCATCGATTAAAGATGGCAATCATCTCAAGCCCCCTTGGCCAAATTTAGCTCTCTGTATCCTTGCATCGCTCACTGCCTCCTCTCTCTCTCTTACCTCGTCTCGATAGGTGCAATTCAAAACCAGCAGAGATTGTAATTTCGGTCTCATCCATGGCTACCAAGATGTAAGAAGTGCTGCTCCGTAGCGCTAGTCAACTTGAGCTCCTCGAAGAGTTAATCAGAACTTACTAATAGTGTGCAGAGTCTAGGGACAGGTTCTCATAGCACAATTTCCATGACCAGCAATGAGATGACAAGGGAAGGATGCGACTACCGATATTCAAATTACGTTTCGAATGAAGCGCTGCACCACACTGAATTATTCCTCAACGAAGAGTTAATCGCCTGTAGAGTTGCTATGGCGAGGCGATCACCGCAACGATGGTCAAGTAGCAATAGACGCCTCTGTGGAAGGTGTACTGGAATTCTGTTTAGGGTTTCGGGTAGGCACTGACCTCAACGTCGTCCGCTGTTACTGGTTGACACATAATCGGATGATCGGTGGAAAGAGTTATGAAATGTTGGAAAGCCATGCAACATCCACTTCAGAATGATCACTTAAAATGAGGCTCCATTGCCATCTAACCGTGCAGACCTCCTAAATTGTGGCTACCAATCATTATTCAGCGATGAGAGTAGCCGGGGATGGCTGCATCCCCAAATTTGTTACTCATTTTAATTCCGTGGAGCTAGCGTTCTCGGGAATACTTGTGGATTTTCTGCGATGTCCGGCTCTTACTTCGTTCCTTTCAATTGTCCGTTGCTGCTTTTAGCTGTATTTTATGGGGAGTGGCAAGCACTATAAGACCGAAGTTAGTCAAACACTGAAAAACGAGGCAGGGAATCATTGTGAAGTGGGGTACACTTTTGAGTATAACCGCCAGACAAAGAGTAGTCTGTGCATCGCTACATTTGTGAGCCTGACAAGCTACGTGCATGGATTGGAAGCAATTTATAACAGAGTTAAACGGATAGAAGAATGGATCCGACATGAAGGGATGGATAAGTGTTGAAATGACAGAATAAAAATCATCCTATTACGAATTCCTTCATTAACTTAGCGGACTTATGTAGCATTCCACGTAGAAGAATTTACCCCCTCCCTGCTCCATAAAAGATTTGATAAGGGGAAAATAGGATCCTATCTGACAACATCCTGTCAAGATGCCTAAGAGGGATCACATGTGTGCAATTTACATGACAAGCTCACTAACCAATGATACCGGTCCCAAGATGCCATGTATATCCATCATCGTGCGTGAATGATCCAGAGGAAAGAAATCTAAAAAAATGATATATTTCGAATTGGTGATGCAACACCTTTCAAATGGTTTTGTCGTACAATATCACTGAATGCGGACTAAGCAAATTGGAGAGAGTTGCTAGACAACTACACAACCTGCTAATTGCTGCAATTCCTCCAACTTGACAAAGAGTGGTATAATCACATGAGAGGTAGACCTTTCAACCAACTTAACAATGTTCTCTAAATAGCAAATATTGAATAAGCTAGTGACACCTACAGAAGAAGCAATTGGCTAATCAGCCTTACAACCAATCGCATTCAGAAGCACCCATTTCTCCACTCCGATTGGGCACTTCACGGCCAGTAAAGTGCACAATCACCGTGGGAATGCGAATATCATTGGCTTGAGACGAGGTAGAGTTGAATTTAAATTTAGCCCTCATGAACCTCTAGTTCATACTTCATAGGCTAATCCAGTGAGTCGACGAAGGTGAGTTTTTTATCTGTTTCGCTCCAACCAAAATGATAATGCGATTTTATTGCTCCTCGTTCACGCACTCCTATCCTTTTACCTCTCCCTCTTCAGTATGGGCTGTGTTATTTCCTGTGGCTTGAAGCTCGTCCTTCAAATCTTCAATACCGTCCTTTGCGTAAGTGATGTGATAAGAATGCGATAGTTATATTGTGTTTCGTGAAAGCAGTGCTCAATGCTTTTTTTAACTTAGGTGGCATTCTTGGCCGTTGCAGTGTTTGGTATTATTTTGAAATCTTCAAAAAGCTTTGTTCAAAAGATTTTGGAAAAGATTTTCCAGCATGATTCAAGTTCAAACAATGAGGATCTCGAGCGGTTTGCAAACTTCATCATTGAAAACGCAGGTAGGTGATAGCATAAATAATACTTTGCCACATTGATATTCTTCAGTACTTTTGAATTGCCATGCACCACTAACAAATTGTCTCCTGCAGGTGGCATCGCCATAGTTCTCATTGTGGTTGGATTGGCGCTAGCAGCACTCTGTCTAATCGGATGCATTGCTTCGTGCTGTGGATGCGGTATACTACTGAAGATTGTGAGTAGACTTCGGCGAGATGAATTAGTAAAAAGTGAAGTGATTAAAATAATAGCAAATGTTGTCCTCTTTTCCTACCAGTACGCCGTCATTCTGATTATTCTACTCGTTGTACAAATAATCGCTGTGGCAGTAATCTTCTCCGATCCCAACAGAACTAGTGGTTGGCTTGTCAGTTCATTGGAAACGCTTCTCGAGTCATACGGCGAGCAAGACGCCAAAGGCAGCATGTCAAAAGCTGTCTGGAATTTGTTAATGGGGGTATGAATTAAAAAAGTGTTAATTCCCTATTTCGAGTAAAATGACTATCTAAATGCCTAAAATATTTCTTTACTTTACAGCTGGAAGAGCCGTTCTGCTGCGGCATGAATGGATACAAGGATTTCCGTAAGTTCAAGAAAATTTTGCTACCTCTGCTCAGGATTTTATACCTATTTATGGCTTTGCCATTCTTTTAGCTAATTTAGCCACCAATTTGCCACCACAGTGTTGCGGTACGGCTTCTGGGAATTGTGATTCTAAAGCAGCAGCAACTGCTAAGGTGAAGGGATGCGAAAAAAAAATTGTCCAATTTACCACAGATAATATGAAGATTTTAATGTATGTTTCCATTGGCGCGATTCTGTTTCAGGTGAGTCCCAAATCCGTCCTTTGTTACCACTACTAAATAACTTGAAGTGAAGGCAATTTACTTACACACTCTACATCTACATTGCAGGCCGCTCTCATCGTAATTGTGATGCTGGTGATTTGCTTGTGAAGAAATTGTGGCGTCAAAACACACCGAAATGACTGTTATTAGAATCCCCATTACTTACATGCTACCCCTTTTCTACATCCACAACCGTTTAATTTTTCTAAATAAAGCAAAGATCTTATTCGTTTTCGAGTTGCCTTGTGACAACCAGAAGACACGTTAAACGTATGAGTTTGTGTTTTCTTCGCCTTTGAATTGTTCATTCGTCCCACTCTGGTTGGAGATGATAGGTCACCAAACTGCATCATAATCCACTCATTGATGTTAACTACATTGAGAGCTATCAGATCTCGTATTGCAAGGGACTGCTTCACAGCAGATTGCTGAAATTGCAGGTAGGGAGGTGTGTGGATGAGGAGTGAGACTGTCAGTTGCCTCATTGAACAAAGGTGGCGGGCAGCACCCACTCAACGAGGATGTGGATGGATGAGAAGAAGAAGTTATGAAATGAGTTGGCCTAAGTTTGAATAAAATTGGCCTGTACGAGGAGGTGCGTTGATGGGTGATGGTGGGAGGTTAGGCACACGGAATTTGTTACCGTAGGAGCTTAGTAAACGTAGAGGGTTAGTCCACTCTCATCCAAGTAAGACCCACGATAAACTACCTTTTGGAAGACATTTTTTCTTGCTACAACATGCCAGGTGACGCACCATCTTACATACTAACAACTGCCACTGTTACTTCAAATCGCTTCAGAGTGAAGTAGATGGGAGTGACCATTGTGTGTGCTAACGCCAGCTTAAAGGTATACTTCAAAATGGATTGGAGTGGCAGTTCCATTGGCTTTGTAGAATGGACGGACATTTCATAAACTGTTAGCACTGATTAAATGGATAGGTGAGATAGATCCACGAGGTGGACACCATTTAATTTGGTTAGTCTTAAGAGCTTGTACTATTCATTCTGCTGCTTTTAGTCAAATTTACCAACCTTTAAAGAGATAACAACCTTCTACTGAAAGTTGCTTTGGTCACAAATAAGAATTGTGCATTCGGTTAAAAGGATTTTGCTGGGAAGTTTTATTCGGATTTGGAGAAAGTGGAAGAATAGGGATCTCCTTTACAAAGTACTAGAAAGAATATATGTAAATATGGGTTTACAGGCGACAAGGAGTTGGGTGGATAATTAGACGAATGGAAAGTTGGATTGGTGTATGGATGAATTGAGATGAGTAGAAGTGTTGAATAAGGGGTATGGGCATGGATGCAGGATGCGATAGATATCCTGGATGGCCGAATGATTGGGAGAGTAAAGAGAAGGATAAGTGGATACAGGATGGATACGTGATGCCGAAGGTGTCTTGTGACTTGTCCTGCCACTTCTGTTTGACTGATTTTGTACATAGACCGTAAATAATGAAATATTTCTTGCGTGACCAAATGATCTAACATGGATTTCTTCCTTTGCCTGCTTTCTTCACTCCTAACTCTGATAGCCATCACATACGCGCACGCCGTCCAACCCCGCGTTCTCATACACATCAGCCAAAAATAGCACATACGTTGACGACTTGTCTACTGATTACTCTACCTAGAAGTTTGATGTGATGCAATCTTGAGCCCACAATCATCAGTTTATGCGGTGTGTGATGTGGTATTTAGATCGTGGATGCGTCTAACCCTGAAGCACCACCTCAGCATCAATTTTCTCATCCATGTATTCATCCCACTGCTCAGGCTAATGGGGTTGTTAGCCTACAGGAGAGGCTCCGACTCTCTCCGTTTACCCACCAGAATTTATCTTGTTTCAAATAGATGACATTGCTCATGACATAGTGCCTTTATATTATGATTTGAGAGGATTATAGCACAATTGATTAAAGGATTAAACGTCCCGATAACCCGTACAATAGCAATCACGGGTCAATCTGGACAGTAGAACGGCCACTGGTGTACAGAATGGATAACTGAAACACTCCAGACAACTCCTGTGGTCTACATGCGTCCAGCACATATTACTCAATGACCGCCCTTACCCATTTTGGCAGATGACCTTCAAAGTCGCCAGAGAGGAGTCCCTTGTTCTTTTCTACACCTACCAAGAAACTACAACTGCTGAGCCATATAGTCAGCCTACATGGGCTACTGGAGGCGGTGATTATAGTTTTTTTCACTGTGCACAATTGCCATGAAACCTGTTGTCAAAATGCCATTAAAAACATTTGTCTACTCTCCATTTCGCTTTCATCTAAATCAACGCGGAGAGGCTTGTCAGTATATTTAAACGAGCAGGAATGAAGTGACGAGTGAAGGAGGCGACTGTTGATGGATGAAATCTTTTCAAACGAAGTATGGAACGTCAACGAATGATTCCATGGCAGAGAGTCAATCATCTCTCCAGTTGTTAATACCAATACTGCCTAGTTTGTTCACTACAGCCGTGGTACCATGGCCTAACACACCTCAGTAGAAAGGGTTCCGGAACTCTGGTCAAGATTTCAGGCAGACGCTGACGTCTAAGTGAGCGAATATTGGTTGACACATAATCAGTTAGTCGGTGGTGAGGTTTGTGCAAACGTGACGAAGCCATCTTCCATCAAGGTGGGTGAGGCACTGCAAACAACTACGTCTGCCATGCACCTTTAGAATCAGCACCTCCATGTTTTACTCCACCTACTACTAAACACATTTTTAGACGCCATTCCTGCCTGTAGACTCTATTTTACAGCCTAATATGAAAGAAGATCCATCATGTGCACACAGAGATCATTCGTGTAGCCGAATGCGCAGCGCGCACCGACTTCCTGTTGACCTTAAAAATGTGGCCGCTGATTTTGCTTCAACAAAAGGAGGGGATGGGAATGGGTGTATTCTAAGAAAAGGAACCTGGCCTTGCACCTGTTTATTTCCTTCTCTTTGTCACCTACCGAGTTTGGGCCCATTTTATGTGGGGTAGTAAGGCCAAGGTTGGTCAAAAGACTGACCACCAGCTGGAACGCAAGCACGCGCAGTACACGCTTGCTAACTCATCCTCGTTGGTAAACATAGACAAGTGGATTAAGTAGCTCTTCATGGACTACTCCAATTCTCAGCTTGGCTAGCTGGACAGAGTCGCATTCCGTGTGCATAAATAGGCATTAGTTTGCAACCGGGAAATGGATGGGTGGTGAACGAATGGTGAAACTAATAGGAAGTAAACCGCTCTACCCCTAATTTTCCTCATCAACCTACTGATCTTACGTGGCGGATTTGTTCACCAAACCACAGATCCTCTTCTGACTGGATCCTGTCCATACACACAAAAGTTATCTCATCAGAGCAACTTCTACGGGCCACCCAGGGGAGACTGCACTTTCGATGTAACATCTCTAGGTTTTATCCCTTTCTAATAAGTGTTTCATGTGTTAAAGAAGAAGGCAGGCAAGAAATTTTATCTGTCTTACTTGCGAGGAAATACTTTTTTAAAGGGTACTTCGAATATTTTCACTAAACACAAGCAGAATGGGAAGGTTTGGTTGATTTGACAGCAAAGCACACTGAGCAAAGGAAAGAGAGTTTCCTACCCACGACACGAAGCACAAATTGTGCAAAAAATCTGCAACTCAGTACCATATGATGTAATCACATGAATGACAGGTCATCCATCCCACACAAACGTGCACCTAGTGGAAAACTGAGATTGGGTTGCCAAATGGGTGTAAATCAGAGAGTTAACCAATGATATTTTCAGCTACCCATTTCTCCACTGCTATTGGCCTCGTCACGGCCAGTTATGTGCACAATCACCGTGGGAACGCGAATATCATTGGCTCGCGGTGAGGTTGAGCTGAATTTAAATTAA